TGTGGCCCGCGGGCCATAGTTTGAGGACCCCTGGTGTAGTGGTTTAGCACTGGGCTGCTAACTGCAAGGTCCGCCGTTCAAAACCACCAGCCTCTCCTCAGGAGAAAGATGAGGCTTGCTACACCCATAATGCGTCATGGTTTTGGAAACTCACAGGGGAAGTTCTACCCTGTCTGAATCAGCATTGACTCAATGGCAGGGCTGTGGGGCAGGATGGCCCTTTCTTTCATGCTGGTGATGGTAGGAAGAGAGCTGGACTAGGAGACACCAGAGATGAGGTGTGGAGGAGAAGCAGCCCAGGGCCTTGTCCCAAACCCTCCTGCCCTCCCCTTGGTTTGGTTACATAAACTGCACTGTTCCTTTTTCATTAAGCTCAAGTTTTAAAAAACAACAACACAACAACACCAAATCTGTAGCCAGGGAGTCCATTCCGGCTCCTGATGACCCCATGTGTCATAGAGTAGGACCACCACAAGGGTCTCCTTGTCCATGGTATTAATGACACAGATCACCAGGCTGTGTTTCTTGGACTGCACTGGGCAGATTCGAACTGTCAGCCTTTCCACTTGCAGCGAAGCGGTAACTATTAGTGGACTTATTTATTTGCAGCTGAGAAGGTTGGATCCCAATTAGAGTCCTCGCCTGCCGGGACCAGGCCTCACATGCCAGGCGAGAGGAGAGGGACCAGGCCCTGCTGCATCCTTGTCCCTCCTTCGCCCCTACCACACAGGTTCCTCTGACCAGAAGAGCAAAAATAATATAGTTTGTGGCTTGGGTCCCTGGGCTCCTACATACACCTTAAGAAAAATAAAATAAAACGAGTGAGCACTTGGAGCAACCAGTGGCCTCACTTCAGGGCTCCCTCTGCAAGCGGGCAGCAAGCCCGTTGCTTTGGAGCCGAGTCTGCCGCACAGGACAGAGGAGAGCCGCCCCGTAGAGCTCCTGGGACTGGGAACCTTGAGGGAAGCCCAGTTGCCACATCATTCTCGCCCTAGATGGCTGGTGTGTTTGAACATCTGATTTTTCTGAGAACGGCCCAATTGGCAGCAAAGGAAGAAAATCCCACTAACAAATTCTCTGACTGTTAGTTTAAAGTCCAAATGCCCATGATGACAGGACACCTTGCTGTCTTGGACAGCGGATGTCCTTCCAGGGATCTCCCTCCCACTCTCTGCCTAAAAGCCTTTCCCCACCCTCAGCCAGGATTCTCCTGCCAGCCCCAAGGGGCCTGGGTGGTGCAATGATTCGCTCAGTGACCAGCTGAGAGGCTGGAGACTCAAGCGCACTGAGAGGCTCCTCGAAAGAAGGGCTTGATGAACGACCTCTGAGAAGTGAATCACCGGAGCTCCATGCAGCACAATTCTACAGGGACGCACATGCATCAGGTGGAGGCAACAGCAACTGGTGACAGCCAGTGGGAAGAGAGCTACCTTGGCTGTTGTCCCATTAACAGTGTGACCGCCACCACCGATATGCTGCGAATCCACCCTGCCAGGAGACGCTGGGCAGGAACTGAACCAGGCGGTGAGGACTTTGAGTGGCACAAACCCAGAGCAGTGAAGTAGCAGCCAGGCTTTAACCATTGCCCACTGATGGATGGAAAGGAACAGGCCTCTTTGAGCCACGGGTTTCTGAATGCAAATGACAGGCCTGCCTGGCATGAGCCCATTGTCACAGCAGGAAGATAACAGGAAGGGGGGAGAGAGAGAGAGGACTTGCTAGCCTTCAGGCATCCTGGCTGCTTCTCAATCAACGTTAGGTTTTCAACCCTCAAGCCAGACTCCAGTTTGCAGATACTTAATGCCAGAAGAGGCAAACACAGAATATGAACTCCCTACCTCCCTTTGCCCCACATATCAACCTAACTTTTCAAATGCTTCCATTCACTGATGGCATGCTCAAAAGAATACACCTCAGGCAATAATAGGACCATAGATCACATGCAATGGTGGACCTTAGAAGCAGCTCTAATGAGACATCTGAAAAATGAGCATGTTATCTTGTTAGGTGGCATCACGTCAGTTCCTAGTGTGTTGTCTACCCCAAAGCAAAACACTTCCTGGTCCTGCACCATCCTCACAGTTGTTGTTTTGCTTGACTCCACTGTTGTAGCCACTGTGACGTCAATCTCACTGAGGGGCTTTCTTTTTCCCTGACTCTCTACTAAACATGATGTCCTTCTCCAGGGATTTGTCCCTCCTGATGACATGTATGAGGGGGTACTCCCTCCCCCCAAAAAAAATAAAATGGAAAAAAGCTCCACTGGACAGAGTTTTGATAGTACACATTTTTTCCTCTAGGCGAGCATCCAGCAACTCGCTCTGTGTTGGTGCACCCAGTGGCATCACCTGGGAAGGTTCTACCTGGTCACAGTGGTTTTTTTTTCTTAAAAACAGTTTCACTAAAACCTCGTTTTTTTTGAGAGGACTGATTTAAGAGAATAGTGTGTGGCTGTAAAATCTTGTTTCCTGCTCAGGAAAAATGCCACCGAAACTGTTGTGATGTTGAACACAGCTTACAAAGACAGCACTATGGGAAAAATTCAAGTGTACACATGGTTTTCTCATTTCAAAAAAAGGTAAAATGTCAATTGATGGCAAACTTCATTCTGGATGTCTGTCAACTTTACAAACAGACTAAAATGTCAACTCGTAGTACATTTAAAGTTCATTCCACCAGGTCAGACTGTTAATCAAGCTTTCTATTTAGAGGTTCTGAAAAGATAGTGTAACAGTGTACAACAAAAAAAGGCCTGATTTGTGGCAGACAGAGGATTAGTTTTGCCATCACGTTTTTAGCAAAAAAAAAACAGCATGCATTTCTTGCCCCACACACTTCATTCACCTGACCTCGCTCCGTGTGACTTCTTTTTGTTTCCACCAATAAAGAGGGACATGAAAGGACAGCAATTTGACAATGTAGAAGAGGTGAAGGAAAAGACAGGGAGGTGCTGTCAGCCATCCAAACAGATGAGTTTGAAAAATGTTTCCAAGAATGGAATCGCAGATTTGAGATATGTATAAAGTGTAATGGAGAGTACTTTGAAGGTGATCAGGTTGTTTTTTAAAACAAATTAAATACATAGCTTTGAAAAAAAATTCCTGGTTTTTGTTTTGTTTTGTATTTTTGGTGCCTCCTCATACAAACTACTGAAGACAAAGTCATGCCATCATTACTTCTAAGGAAGAGTCTGGCTATACTTCCCCCAACACACATTTATTATTATTATTATTATTATTATTATTATTATTATTATTATTATTATTATTGCAGTCTATGGTATATTTATGGGTCTTCACCGATACCATAATTCAAAGATATCAATCCTTATTCATTGTCCAGATTAAACTTGCATATGAGGCAGCTGAAAATACTGTGACTTGGGCTTCCTCTTCAAAATGGCATCTGTCCTGAAGTCTTGGACAAGGTCTTAGCAATCGTTTTGCGGCACAATATTTGATTCCCTGACTACTTCCATGGCATTGACTATGGAGTCTAGTGAATGAAATCATCATAACTTCAATATTTTATCCATTCCTGATGTGCCTATCCGTCCAGGTCTGAGGATTTTTGTTTTCTGTGGAAAGGTAATTCACACTGAAAGCTGTAGTCTTTGATATTCATCAGCAAGTGCTTCAGGTCCTCTGTACTTTCAGCAAGCAAGGTTGTATCATCTGCAAACTGTAGGTCATGCTAATGCCATGTTCTTCTTCATATTATCTAGTTTCTCACATTATTTGCTCAGTATAAAGATTGAACTAGTATAGTGAAAAGCTAAAACCCTGACACATACCCTCCCTTATTTTAAACTACTCAGAATCCCTGCCTCTTGCTTTATGCACAATTCACATGAGCACAGTGCAGTGTTCTAGAATTCCCCTTCTCAACAGTATCCTTATTTGTGTTGATCCACACGGTCAAATGTTTGCATCATCAATAAA